GCGTAATAGCAGAATAAATAATAACATCTGAATATTGAGTAAAAACAACGATGACAGCAGCCCGTGGGCGCGGGAGAAAAACAAGGAAAAGCGGCGCTGAGAGGTCAGCACGACAGGAGAGCAAGGAAGAGCTCGCCGATACGGAGGGGACACGGGACGCGGGGCGTCGCGCTTTGTGGCGCCCCCCGGGAAAAAAGCGGCCGAGTCGAGAAACTTTGTCTTCACACTCCTCCTATTGTATTCGAACCGGAGTGGGAGGCCGGAGAAGGGAGCGCGCGGAAAGAAGATCCAGCGGCCGTGTCTCGGGCGATTGGTGCGCGTGACATGTCACGTGTGAGATGGATGGCTGATTGTAGAAGGACTCCTTGCCAGGGGAAAAGGTGGGTGAGGAGGAGTGGCAAATCCCGCGCGCCGACATCCTGGGTCCCGAGTGAAAGATCGCGAAAGAGAGCGACAGAACACGAGAGAAAAAAACCAATGTTGCCAGCTGAAGGACGACAAGCGCAATGGTAATCGCGAAGACTGAAAACTCTCAGCAATATAAACAGTGATAATTTAACGTTGCAAACTAAACTCTGAGCTATTCTAAGGTTTATAGAAAGCAGCGTACTCATTACGCTGCATTAACTTCCCTTCTGTCGAAATCTCGAAAATCTGGAAGTTGCGCGCTTTCGTATTTCCGGGCGCGGCCACCCGCACCCGGAAATACGAAACTAAACCAGACAACCGAAGCCGGTTATCTAGTTTAGTTTAGTGTTGACGGGAGGCCGTACATCTGCGTGCTATGCAAAAAGAAAGCTTCGAAAGGAACGCGAATGTCTTTCCACCGGTAAGTTCGTGGATTCTGGAAGTTCATGACACTGCTCTGATGATATATTTGTAAAATCGAAGGCAGTTGGTAACCATGTGAGACACCGAGGGTCTGCCTGCATGCTCCGCCGCTTGCGGCAGCCAGAATGCATGGGAAAATGGCGAACCTTTTCCTCTAGAGTTAGTATGTACGATCTCTATGCTCCTGGAGCTCCGGACTTGGAGCGAAAATAAAGGTTTTCTCTCTCTCTCTCTCTATGCTCCTTGCAGGCTTTCGCGCGCTCCGTCCGGTAGGTTTTATCAGATCGAAGGCTAGACTGTGGTGTATTCTAGTACCCCATAGCAAGACGAAGGCTAGCGACGGTCACGTGATGTGGTCACGTTGACATGGTAAGTGAGGAGAGTAGGAGGAAAATGAGAAAGAGGCGAGGCGTCAAGGGAGCATGGCTTGTGGAGGCTACGCGGCCGACGTCATGCCCTCTCCTACCCTTCTATCCTCCTTAACCCAGGATCGTGGATTCAATCTCCACCCCTGCCCGTATCGATCTGGATGAGCATCGTACCGGCGTGTGGTCGTGCATCACTACTGCGTGGTACACGTTAAAGACCCCGGGCTAGCACTCATACTGCTCTGGCTAAATTGCTTATCTACAATGGGTAACAGTATGTCGCAATGTTCTGGCATGTTCCCTGCTGTATAAAAAACTCGGCCGATTTGTTTGTTAAAATACGGTGTGGAGGGACAAAGATGAGAAATAAATTTGTTAGTCTGCGCCATTCATGTACATTGGTTTTCTTCTATCATATGTTTTAGTTTCAATTTTATCAATTGCGTTTATCTTGCATCTACGCAGCGCAGCAACCATCAAAATAACTGTAAAAGCCTCTAGGGAATGATAAATTGCGTTCCTGATTGCAGATTGCCGTAAAAAACACATTTGTTTCTTAGGATTCGCTTTCTAGAATTTGTATGTAGGAATCACGAAGGGGACGACGGTCCATTCACGGCTCCATCGCCTCAAGCCCGGTTCGCCACGCAGTTCATCGCACAGCCACCTTACCACGTCTTTCGAGAGGCGATAGTGTTGTTGAAAATCAACGTCGTTCATGCCAAACACATTAGCGAGGCTTAAATAGCTACGCCGACGGCGAAACACGAACAAATAAGCTGCCATTTCGGACGCTTCTCCCTCATCTAGCGCCCAACTCGCACAAACTCGCCAAGGTCGGAGCCGGCAAGCTTTTCCTATCCGCGGCGGCTTTTGCCACGTCACAATGACGTCACAGCATCTCGCCGCGAGTTCCGAATATGCCACTCTACGACCGCCTCGAACCCTCCGTTCTGACGTCACGTTCTAGGGAGTGACCGCGCGTGTCGTCATGCACAACGCCGACCAATCGTGGCGGGCGGCGAGTTCGGCAGAGAACTCGCCTTGATCTCTCCGTGCCGAGCTTAGCCCCCTGACCGGTTTGAGTCGCGCTCATTCTCTTCTCCCTGATCACGTGCCGTTTTCCATCGTTTAGACAGAAACACCAAATATAGACAAAGACTATTAAAACTTGTTGTTGGCCTAGTTGGTTCATGATGCAGTATAGAGGTTTTTTGCGCGACACAGTGGACAATTACAAGCGAGTAGACACGGAGAAGCGCAAACTTTCAACAACTTTATTCGTGCGCAATCGACCACGAACATCCAGAAAGAGCATGCGCAGCACGCTACACAGACGAAAAAAACCGAAAATAGATAGTAAAGTCATCCACCAAGACACATTCCACGATAGTCATTATCGAACCAGCAACCCGGATAAAAACTGCACTTCACTTTCAAACAAAGAAACCGAGGTATCGCTCACACAGTCATGGTTCTTCTTTATATAAAAAGCTTCCATCAATTCTCTGGCTGTGCTGTCTTTGCTTCTACCCAAGATCCTAATCCCCCGAAATCGCGCATCACACCCACAGTCGGCACAGTGAGTAGGCAAGTGTGCATTGCCTTTATTCCTGATCGACAATTCATGTTCCCGTGCGCAGTCATTAACGCAGCGACCAGTTTGACCAATATATACTTTCCCACACGAGAGCGGAATCTCGTATACCACCGCTGTGGCACAATCCACAAACGGTCGGGCGTGCTTTTTGTTGCAGCCACTTGTCTTTTCTCTTCCCGAGGAAATCCTCGGGCAAAGGCCCGCAAGCTTGCGTGGCGCAGAGAATACGAAAGGTACATTGTACCTATTCGCTACCTTCTTGAGGTTGTGGGACACTTTGTGTATATATGGCACCACTTCTGGTCTACACTTCCTTTGTGGCGGCTTTGGCCGCGTCCTCTGCTTTTCCTTGGTCTTCTGGAGCAACGTCTCAGCAACCGCCGTAATGACCGAGCAGGGGAAACCGGCAGACTTCAGCCTGGCTACCTGATCATTAAAGCTTCTGTGCATAGAGTGTGGACACGAGTTCCTGAGGGCGGACCCTAAGCAGAGGGAGGCAATGGCTCGCTTAACAGTTTTTGAGTGAGCCGAGTCATACGGCAGCAGCCCCTTCTGTACTCGAGGGTTATAACGCCAGCATAAATGATTATTTTTTAACATCAATTTTATATCCAGGAACTGGAGTGAGTCATGGGTTGGAAGCTCATGTGTAAAGGACAGGCCCAACCCATGAACATTAAAAGCGGTTAAAATCTCATCCACAGAGTCGTCATAACTAAGCAGGTGTTGTTTTTTTAGAAGGATTAAAAAATCGTCAACGTATCTAAAAACCTTCAAGACACCGCCATCGACAAAGTGGTTGGATAAGTCCCGATCAACGTGCGCCAAAAAAATATTACAAAGCACTGGGGCCACACAGGACCCTATGCAGATGCCCTGGCGTTGAATGTAAGGTATGTCTTCAAAAGAAATAAAGGCGGAACTGAGGTAAAACTCCAACAAAGACAGGAAGTTGTCCACAGACACCCCCGTCGAGTTTCGAAAAGCCACTACTCCGTTATCGTCTATACACTCTCGGACGGACACACATAACTGCCCCTGAGGTACTGAATAAAACAGATCCTCAACGTCAACAGAAAACATGTACCCGACGGGTCTCGTTTGTTTTAAGTATGACGTTACGTCTTCCGCATTTGAAGTTGCAAAGGGATCTTTAATTTTCAGTCCCCCCAACTGCTTCAAAAGAGACCGGCTTAACAACAAATGCCACGACCCTTTCTCGCTGACAATGGTCCTGAAAGGCACGTCCACTTTGTGCGTTTTTGCCGAAAAGAACACAGACAAGGCGCTACCTTTACAGTCACCAATGGTTTTAGCTAGTTTTGTAAGTTCAAGGTTTTTGCACATATCCACTGCTCTGGACTTGACACGGCAAGCACTAGGTTTGACAGCTTTAAAGTTCTTCTCCACCGCAAGACGGGCCTTCTCGCTGAACGTACCGGCAGTCATCGCCACAAATCCACCTTCTTTATCCGCTTGAAGGAGACGCAGATCGTTTTCTTTAAAGAAGTCCACAACCTTCACAAAGGAGTCCCTTGAACCCCGGGTGACGTCCCTGCTGACAGTCCGTGTGAGTACGTCGACACCCGCAAGCAGGCAACTATCGTGTTGTTCAGATGGTGCGTTCCTAGCAACTCGTCGGTTCAACGCCAGCAAATCATGCGCGGCCATGCTAGGTTCAAGACAATATTTTGATCCTTTTTGTAGAACTCGTGAAACGTTCTCCGGTTTTTGGTCGTCTTCCCCCAAAACCAGGAGACCCGCACCAGTGGCACCCTTGTCCTTCACCACGACAGTCTTCAGGATACAGTTTAAGACCGTTGTCCACCACATCTCGATTACCCGGGCAGCCAGGCGTTTACATGAGCGCAGCTTGATCTCCGCCAGCCATGGTGGATCAAGAACGTGACACAGAACTCGAAGATAGTCATAAAAAAGTCTGACCTGCCGCCACAACTCACTTCTCAGCACCCTACAAATGCGTTTTGCGTGTCCCAGGGACGGTCTTAGTTGTCCAAACAGTGCCGTAATCTCTGGGGGTATAAGACCTTTTCTCAGGTAAAAGGTGATGACTCTCGCCCGGCAGGTAGAAGAGTGAGTGAAACATGTCTTTAATATAGAAAGGAGGATCGCCTGCCTTGGCCGAGTAGGTCTTAAGCAGGAGGGGTAGGGTTATTTGGGTTGGGGGGGGGGGGGGGGGGGAGTATGATGATGAATAGGTGAGGTTATATGAGGTTATGTGTCCCTGATTTTCTGATGTAATCCATCAGGGAGTCGAGGAGCGCTTTGCGGTGTTGTGGCGAGCCTCTGGGTCGGGCCCATTCGTCTAGCGTCCTCGGTCGGTCTTCCTCACGGAGAACCTTGAGGGCTTCTTGTCTGTGTCTATCTAGACCCTTGCAGTTCCAAAGAAGGTGTTGGAGTGTCGCCATGTTGTTCCCCGTGCAGGTCTTGCACTTTGCTTCTTCTGGTTCCAGCAAGCCAAAGCTCGCCAGTTTCGCTGGAGTGCACGCCGTCTTGGTCCTGATGCGACGGACCCGGACGGCAGCCCATCGGCTGTAGCCTGCTGGTATCTCGTCTTCTTGTGGCGGTAGGAGACCCCTGAGGTAGGCCTTCCTCGCCTGCCTGTCGAGTTCGGCCTGCTCCTCCGGATCTACCGTCTCGTGCCTGCCGGATGGAGAGGTCGGGCCAAGCGTGGAGCTATAATGTGCTGCCTCCACTGCGGCCCTGTGTGCCCTCTCGTTCCCGGCTATTCCACTGTGTCCAGGAAGCCACGTTATGTACAACTCGGTGCCCCTTTCTCGAAGCTCCGTCGCCATCTTTTTTATCTTTTTAGTCGTGCGGCCTTTGGCCCTGCTGCATCTGGTCGCGATGATCGCCTCCTGAGAATCCGTAAAAATTCTGGCTTTACTGGCCGTTACTGAGATGCTCAGGATGTCTTCGATCGCCGCAAGAATCGCCCTGAGCTCGGCTTCTTTGACGGATGTGCCCTCCGGTAGCGTTTCGGCCCACCCCTTGTTCCTTCTTGGGTCGTGCCATGCTGCTGCTGAGGCTCCCTCGGTCCGTGCTGCGTCGGTATAGCGCATCTCGTCGCCCCTTCCATGTTCCTCGCACCAAGCTGCATGTAGTCTAGCAGCCCTTGCCCTCTTCCCTCCGTTTAGGGCTTTAGGGAGTGGCCGATGGTCTGTGATTGGCTCATCTTGCCACGGTGGAAGGGGCTCTTCAGGTGGGGGTTTGTTCCTTATGTCGTACCCCAAATCCTCTAGAAGTCGACGACCTTGCCTGGTCCGCTCCAGTCGTTGAAATTGAGCGATGTTTTGTGCGTCGGCTCTGTCCTCAATACGGCTCATCTGAGCTTCTTGGCGCAGATCTTCTAGTGGCGTGAAGTTGGGAAGACCTGTGATCAACCTCATGGATCGGTGATTCAATCTTTCTAGCTTTTTCCACTGCCCGCGGGTGAGATTTAGCCAGTTGCAGCTATATAGAGCTCTCGACGTGAGTAGGGCTTCCGCCAGGATGCGAAGAGCCTTCTCGTCGGCGCCCCATGACTTGTTGGTTGTTTTTCTAATGAGCTTCAAGCCCTGAACCCAGTTTTTCTCTATATCTGGGAGCCATTTCGAACTTCTCGCCGTTTCCTCGAAGGTGACTCCAAGGATTTTGATATGTTGTTTTCTGCCAATCTCTTGCCCGTTTATCTCAAGTCGTATCGAGTTGGCGATTCCTTTCCGATGGTCTCGGGGCCTGGCTACTACCATGTATTGCGTCTTCTCAGGGGACGCTTCCATTCCGAACTCCTTGAGATACTCCAGGACTTGTTCTATGCCGCGTTGCATCGTCCATTCCTGCTCACCTAAGGATCCGCGGCGGGTCCAGAGCGTCACGTCGTCAGCGTAGACGGTGAAATCTAGTCCTTCAATCGTACGAAGTCGGGTTGGAAGACCCGCCATCACCATGTTGAAGAGGACCGGCGATATCACCGCCCCCTGCGGTACTCCTCTGCAGTTCGGCGTCTGGGGACCTTTGGTGTCTCCTATTTTCACCTGGAAGTTTCTATTGCGTAGGAAGTCCTCTATGAAATTCAGTGCCTTGCCTCGAATGCCGCATGCCTTGGCTCCTCTAGCGACAGCCCAATGAGGGACAGCGTCAAAAGCCTTTCGGATGTCGAGAGCAACGACAAGTCGCGGATCTTCCTTATTCTTTTCGGCATAACCTCTTCGTAGAAAAGTTTGAGGCTGTCATGGGTACCCATTGCCTCTCAGAAGCCTGTCTGTCTGGGATCTAAGCATTCGTGCTTCTCCAAGTACCACTGAATCCTCCTGAGTACGATCTTCTCCATAGTCTTTCCAACGTTAGATGTCAGGGAAACCGGCCGCAGATTTTCAATTCGATCGAGTGGCTTGCCGGGCTTGGGTATCGGAGTCACCCAGGACAGCTTCCAATTCTCCGGCAGCCTCCCCGATTCCCAGACCTGATTGTATTTGTCCAGGAGTCTTTTCTTGGCTTCTTCCGGAAGATTTCTGAGTGCTTGATAGGTGACCCCGTCTGGGCCGGGGGCGCTGTTGGTCTTTGTTGTGAAGAGCGCGTCTATGAGTTCTCCCATGCCAAGCTGTTCTTCCATCCCAGCTTCTAGTGGCATGTCCAAGTCCTCGGCCGTTGCTCTGGGGGTCGTCGGTCCTCCGTCCTGGGGAAAAAAAAGTTCACCGGCCTTGATTGCCAACTCCTCCTCGCTTATGTTTAGCTTAAGGGCGATGTTCTGTGCCTCATTTCTTGTCCTACGCTTTCTTCCGTCGAGGCCCCGGTAAGTTCGCCATGCCTTTCCAAGCCCGGTGCGCTGGTTGAAAGACTCGCAGTGAGTTCTCCATCTTGTGCGTCCTAGTTCCTTCGTGTACCTGTTGGCCTTCGCCGTCGCATGGTTTAGCTTGATTTTGTTCCGTAGTGTTTTCTTTTTACCGTATCTCTGGAGCGCTCGTAGCCGGCTAGCCCAGAGATTGAGTAGGTGGTTGTCAGGGGTGGGAGCATCGGGCTTCACCAATATCTCCGTCTTGGCTTCTCGGAGTGCCTTGCGTATGCTCATCTCCACGTCTTGGTCGTCTTCCGCTTCAAGAAGCTCCCTGAAACGGTCCCACTTTACTACCGGTCTCTTCTCCTTATAGCCTGTCCCTTGGGCATGTCTGAGCTTCATTTCCAGGGGGAAGTGATCGCTGCCGAGGGTATCTCTCCATGGCGTCCATTCAAGGTCGAGACATCTCGAGGCCCAAGAGAGGTCCGGGGTAGAGTCCTTTTGCCTCCACTGCTTGGCTAACCTAGTCCTGACGCCGGGTGCGTTGGGCAGCTCCAGGCCCACTGTATTCATGGCTTCAAGGATATCTTTGCCCCTCCTCGTGTTGGTCGTATATCCCCAAAACCTGTGTGGTGAATTGAAATCCCCGGCTACAATAATGGGATCCCCTTCGGCTAGTTTGATCAGCCCTTTGATCCACTGCATCATCTCCCCGTCTACCGCTTTGGTTCCTGGTCTAAGGTAAACAGAGGCCACGGTGATTTTGGCTCGTCCACGCCTGATTCTCGCGGCGACAACTTCTCTGTCAGTTGAGCAGAGGGCTGTCGTATCCAGTTGGGCTTGCGGTATATGCCGTAGGATACCAACGGCTGCCCAGCCCCTCTTAGTTACAGGGCTCTTCTCTCGATATCTAGGGGCCGTCTCGATGGTAGGGTTCGTGTAGAAGTTGTAACATGGTAGTGTCATGGTCGGGGTCCTTGTTTCTTGGAGTAGCAGCACATCGGGCGGGGGCTGCGTCTCAAATCGTAATTTGAGTTCTGCACTTCTGGCCGTAAACGTACAACAATTCCATTGGATGATCCGAGTCAGTTCCGTGGCGATCCGTCTAGCGTTGGTCGCGGAGTTACTTGCCATGCTTCAGCTCGGCAATCTCCCTCCTGAGCTCTCCGATGACCTCGAAAAGTGCCTTGAAACCCATCTTCATTTCGGCTTGAAGCTTGTCGACCTCCCTCTCGGCGTTAAAAGTAGATGTTTGTGGCGTTTGTGGTGGTGTAGGATTGGCCTATTCTGGCATCCAGGCAGGCAGGCCTGTCGTGCTTATTTCTCTAGCTGGTTTGGGTTCCTTTGTGCTCGCCAAGGCAGCTGCTGCGTAGCTGTCCCTGGGTTGCGCCTCCGGAGGCTTCAACGCGGGTTTTCTTTTTTCCGGAATTTTGCGCTTTGGGCAGACATTGCTGGTAGCAACGTGCTTGCCTTCACAATTGTGGCATCTGGGTTCTCGGTGACAGTTCTCCATTTCCTCATCATGCAGCTGGCCGCAGTGATCGCACCTTTGCTCCTTCCGGGGACAAACATCGGTCTTATGGCCAAGCCCGTGGCATTTAAAGCACACGATGGGGCGTAGGAGGTACTCTTTCACGCCTAGAATTGCGTTGGAAAAGATTACTGTCTTGGGGAGTTTGTTACTCTCAAATGTCACTAGTACCACGCTTTTGCTTTTCCCGATCAGTCGTGCGCTGACTGTGCGGGACGTCTTACATTTCATGTCTTGCATCAGCGTCTCTGGAGTCTCGTCACGGTTGTCTCCTGGGAGGTAAATGACGCCTCTAATCTGATCTCTCCCGATGGCTTTGTATGGTCGAATCGCGTACTGATCGCCGCCTTTTTGTACCTCTGTAAGCTGAAGAAGCTTTTCTGCGGTTTTTTCAGCTTTCGTAGTAAGTGCAATGGTGTTTGCCCTTGCCTGATACTGGATCTTAAAATCGTCGTCTTTTGTAACACCCGCCTTCTCAGCGGCGCTCACAATGTCTCGAGCCCTAAATGCCATAGCCTCTTGCTTGCACACAGGTTTGAAAACAATGGTCTGTGTCGTCTTTCTACTATCTCGTGCGTTTTCTATTGGAGCAGCTGTGGCTTTGTTTTCTTCTTTTTCGACCGATGTCAGCAATCGCTTGCGCCGGCGTTTAGTCACCGTGCACCATCCGTTGTCCTCGGGATTTGTTGACGGAGGGTTGGTACCTGGAGGCGTGGCAATTTGTTCGCTCGAAAGAGAGCTCGACGGAATTTCTGGCGGGGTCAGCGCTGGAAACTCCTGAGAAAATTTTGAGCTCACCACTTCGTTAGCGTTGTTCAGTCTGGCTTTTTGCTGGCGTTCTTCGGCGAGCTGAGCCAAGAAGCACATGAACAGCTTCCCAATTTCATCTCCTTGGATCCCGAGCAGGTCCAGTAGTGCAGGGTCAATCGGAAGGTTGACGGCCGGGCGGCCCGTCGATGAAACATTCACAGACACATCTCCGGACTTGGCACTCTGTGGCCCAGTAGTTAGGCCTAGCGACGTATCCATCTCATCGGGTTCCGAAGACGTCGGTCGGAGGAGTGCGGAGGGTTCGCGGTGCTTCATTGAACCTTCTTCGATAGTAAGAGACTGGTTCGGGGGCACGAGTACCCCCTGAACCTTGGAAAATACCTTAGAACTGGCAAATATTTGAGAGCTACGAAGAAACTGCAACTGGGTTGCCCGGAGGCTTCTTCTTCTTTTCCCAGGTAGAAGAAACAATGTAGCTCACCAAGGAATTCACTTGAGACGTAGAATAAGGAACATTGAAGAAAGGGCCCGTTGTAGAAGAAATGTAGTCAATTAAAACTTGTTGTTGGCCTAGCTGCTTCATGATGCAGTATAGAGGTTTTTTGCGCGACACAGGGGACAATCACAAGCGAGTAGACACGGACAAGCGCAAACTTTCAACTACTTTATTCGTGCGCAATCGACCACGAACATCCAGAAAGAGCATGCGCAGCACGCTACACAGACGAAAAAAACCGAAAATAGATAGTAAAGTCATCCACCAAGACACATTCCACGATAGTCATTATCGAACCAGCAACCCGGATAAAAACTGCACTTCACTTTCAAACAAAGAAACCGAGGTATCGCTCACACAGTCATGGTTCTTCTTTATATAAAAAGCTTCCATCAATTCTCTGGCTGTGCTGTCTTTGCTTCTACCCAAGATCCTAATCCCCCGAAATCGCGCATCACACCCACAGTCGGCACAGTGAGTAGGCAAGTGTGCATTGCCTTTATTCCTGATCGACAATTCATGTTCCCGTGCGCGGTCATTAACGCAGCGACCAGTTTGACCAATATATACTTTCTCACACGAGAGCGGAATCTCGTATACGACCGCTGTGGCACAATCCACGAACGGTCGGGCGTGCTTTTTGTTGCAGCCACTTGTCTTTTCTCTTCCCGAGGAAATCCTCGGGCAAAGGCCCGCAAGCTTGCGTGGCGCAGAGAATACGAAAGGTACATTGTACCTATTCGCTACCTTCTTGAGGTTGTGGGACACTGTGTATATATGGCACCACTTCTGGTCTACACTTCCTTTGTGGCGGCTTTGGCCGCGTCCTCTGCTTTTCCTTGGTCTTCTGGAGCAACGTCTCAGCAACCGCCGTAATGACCGAGCAGGGGAAACCGGCAGACTTCAGCCTGGCTACCTGATCATTAAAGCTTCTGTGCATAGAGTGTGGACACGACTCCCTGAGTGCGGACCCTAAGCAGAGGGAGGCAATGGCTCGCTTAACAGTTTTTGAGTGAGCCGAGTCATACGGCAGCAGCCCCTTCTGTACTCGAGGGTTATAACGCCAGCATAAATGATTATTTTTTAACATCAATTTTATATCCAGGAACTGGAGTGAGTCATGGGTTGGAAGCTCATGTGTAAAGGACAGGCCCAACCTGCTGCTGCGCATGCTCTTTCTGGATGTTCGTGGTCGATTGCGCACAAATAAAGTAGTTGAAAGTTTGCGCTTGTCCGTGTCTACTCGCTTGTAATTGTCCCCTGTGTCGCGCAAAAAACCTCTATACTGCATAGACAAAGGCGTGGGTCATCGAAGGAAGACAATCAATATAAAAAATAAATGATATCCATTTTTGTGTCTTCTAAAAAGCTGCAAATACTTTGATTTACAAAAAAAAAAAAAAAAAAGTTACATAGCACATGACTTCCCGCCAACTCTCTCCTCCTCTATATTCTTTCTTCCTCCCTTGTCAAACAGGAAAGGAAGAGGCAAACAATTTTTCAAACCACGAAGCAAAAACTTGAACAAAGCTTAAGCATCGCCTTCAAAGGGTAACTGCAAAGAAAAAAAATGTTTTTTTTAAGCAGCCTAATTGGGTCAAGCACGTAAAAAAACAATTTTTCCGCGAGAAAAAAAAAATTTTACAGCAATATTTATTGCGTGAGACCGGTTTTTGTTTGCGGCTATTTCGTCCGTTTTCAATCGCGCGTCACGAAATTGGTATTCCGTGACATTGAATACCAATCGGCTGTTATACTTCTCATTGGCTAAGAGTTTGATTGACAGCTTAGATCTTGGTTGTTAAACCTTTGTTGTATGTTGCAATTTTCTTTTGAAAGGCATATTTCTACGTTCAAAGAATAACCCATGTGATGAGAGTTATTAATCTTTACAAAATGTTTACAAGACGGGCACTTCCGTTTGGATTCATACCATAACAAACAAAAGCATCGCCATTCTTCCATGGCCGCCGAAGTCTCTGCTCCCGCCTGTCTCGCCTACCTCGACTAATCGTTTCGCCGAAATGATAAGTGTTTCGTGCTGACCCAGGTGCTTGAGTGAGACTTCTTGAAGTGAAGTAGTGTGTGTTTAGCAGCTGTCGCAGGTGTTAGTGATAGGAAGCGACGCGGGGTTTTGACTTTCATAGCGCGTTCTTTCGTTTTCCTCTTTGCTGGCTTAACGTGCTTTTTTGTTTGTGTGTTTGTTTGTTTGCTTGCGCGTGCAAATACCGACTTTTCGGAGATGTCAGATGAGTGATCCCGACAGCGAGCCTTCCAGCAGCCATTTCGCCCCGAAAGGAATGCTATAGGCAGCCGGCAATGGCCAGGCGGCGCCACGAGTACTGCATTCAGCGCCACAAGCGGAGGCGTCTCTGTTAATGGGGCGGCCAGTTTGCCCGTCGGGCCGTTGCGAGCGGCGGCGACCCCGATTTCAGGAGTCCCCGTGTGCACCTGCGTTTCATGTCCCTGGTTCTTTTATGCGGTTTTTTTAAACCATCGGGAGCCTTGATAGGTCCAAGTGTTGAGAGAATATTCTAGAGTCGTCATTTGGACACCGGTTTGAGTTGTCTTCACTGCTTGTGGCCGCCCGATGGGTCTGTGCTTCGCTCGTCTCCCAGGAAGTGACACAACACAACGAGAAGGCAGCGAATAGGTTTATTGTACATCCCGGTTGCCCGGCTTCGAGAACCGGCAGTCCGGACTCGCCCGTCGTTCAAAGCTCACAGTCGGAGCCCGTGTCCAGGCCTGCGGATCGCCCTTCCCACGCCAGTGCTGCGTAGGCTAGTTGTTCCGGGCTATCACAGCCAGAGTCTCGCTGCGAAACCACTCCGGGATCGTCATGTACTAGGCCAGTATGGTCAGGGTTCGCCGCTTCCGCCGGTCCTGATCCGAACTTCGTTGGTGGAATGCTCCCGGGAATCGCCATGGACCAGACCAGCCAGAACGGCTCTATCATTCCTGCCCGGCTCCAGCCTCGTGCAGCACGCTCTTGCTCTTTTCTCGCCGGCTGGACCCCACTCGCGCCTCGCTTGCCGTCCTCTCCTCCCGACGCCCACACACACTAGAATAAAATTTGGGTAATTAGAACCGAACTTTGCATGCTACAGAACCGTACGCACACTGCAAAGCCTGGTGTAAAGTGGCGACAGACAACAAAGTGTGCTACGT